TATTATTATTATTATTATTATTATTATTATTATTATTATTATTATTAAGTGAGTTCTGGCAGCAGAACATGCCTAAATTATGCCATTTATTCGTGAGACAACAATAATTCAACTAAAGACCCAAAGTTTGTGCAGATATCAGTCGGCTCAAAAGCATCTAGAGAGAAGGAAACTGCTCTGTAGGCTGTGGACCCAGTGTTTCTCATGTCAATGGTTCCAGTGGACCCATTGTTTCTGGTGTCAATTGTTCCAATGGAACCAGTGTTTTTGGTGTCTATGGTTCCAGTGGAACCAGTGTTTCTGGTGTCAATGGTTCCAGTGGACCAAGTGTTTCTAGTGTCAATGATTCCAGTGGACCCAGTGTTTCTGATGTCAATAGTTCCAGTCAACCCAGTGTTTCTGGTGTCAATGGTTCCAGTGGACCTAGTGTTTCTTCCAGTGGACCCATTGTTTCTGGTGTCAATTGTTCCAATGGAACCAGTGTTTTTGGTGTCTATGGTTCCAGTGGAACCAGTGTTTTTGGTGTCTATGGTTCCAGTGGACCGAGTGTTTCTGATGTCATTGGTTCCAGTGGAACTAGTGTTTCTGGTGTCTATGATTCCAGTGGAACCAGTGTTTCTGGTGTCAATGGTTCCAGTGGACTTATGTCTGGTCATTCTTTTGGCAGTTAAATTTGCACACATTAAAGCAACATATCTCTAATTTCTGCAAATATCTGGCCTTAAGGTTTGGAGGAATCCTACAACATGGTTGCCGGTAATATCTTATAAATTAATACTTTTAAATAGTTTATATTGATGGAATGCTGATATGGAACTTGCAGTATTTCCAAACATGGTCACACAAATTAGTCCCTCAAAATGACAGGTAGACAGATCTATATATCTGTTCTAAGTGCATTGTAATAAATGTTTTTTTCTGTCTCAATCTACAGGCGAAAGACAGCGGGGAGTAATCAGGACCGACTGCTGCAGAGACATAACTACCTGCTGCGTTTGAAGCTGAACTAGTCTGCAACATACTCTTAACTTTTTTTAAGTCACTGTTCGTATTATTTTATGAAAAGAAACTGTTTTAAACCCTACCCCTGTAACCAGCTGATACAAGGTAATTTTCCATCACTAGAGGACGCCAAATTGCATCAGTTCTTTTTAAAATGTACACGATGTGACTTTAAATTTGAATTCTTAACATTTTGTGTGTGCATGTGATAGTGGATGTATGTTGCCTTAACTCAATAAAATCCTTTAAAAGAATGTAACAAAAGAGAACTTTTTGATTCATTACATCATTTCCTCCTCCAGTATCGTTCATACAGTGTGTATCCTGTGAGGGGTTTCTGTCTCTTTATGAAGGACCATTTGGTTCTTGTAGGACCAGACTGAGCTGCTGATCCGAGGTGGTTCCAGTGAGTGTTGAAGAGGGTTGTCCTTTCTGTTCAGAACTTTTCCAGGAGCAACCACGGGGTCGGCGGTGTCTAGTTTTAGGGGACTTCTTTCCTGAAGATGTGGTCCAGTAGGCCCTGCTCGACATAGGACCTCCAGCAGGCACGGGAACAGTTCACAGTTTAGTTTGAAGCAGCTAGAATGAAAATCAGCGCCTCCAAGTCTGGGGCTGTGGTCTTCTTCTGGAAAAGGCTGGATTACCAACAATAAATTGAGCCTCTGTCCCTGGTGGTGAACTTCAGGTATTTTGGAGTCTTACTCATGACTGTGGGTCATGGGACTGGGACAGTGTCTGGTTCCAATAAAGTGAGGGACTTGGTTATTCTGGACCTGAGTTTTGTCTTCTGCATCAAAAGAAGACAACTGGGTTGGTTGAGTGTCTTGTAAGAAGGCTTCCTAGAGAGAAAGTCTTCTAAGAGAGGTGTTTCAGACTTCCCATCGAGGAGTCCACGGCACAGATCCAGGACTCCCTGGAGTGGCTGAACTGTACCTCAAATCTGGCCTGGAGTGTTTCCTTATGGACTGGAGTAGCTGGAGAGGAGGAGGTCTGGCTGTAACCTGCAGCAAACCTAAAAAAAGTCAGCATCAAACTCCGTTAGCACAAACCAGAGACGCTGGACAGGAAAATATCAAATTTATGTTTTCTAGTGGTGCATTGCTCTTAGGGGACACCTCCTTGAACGAGGATTAAATCAAGCACTCAGAGCAGACTAATCCATCATTTGTGCACTGAAGCTGTAAGAACCAGTACGTGTACCATACCGGGTCTGGACTGACGGCATCGTCTGCACACAATTGTAGGTGTTGGTGCAGCCTGGAGGCCTCACAGATCAGTCCTGAACGCACTTTCAGCTTTTACCGTATGAAAGTAGAAGAGAAATGGCTGAAGCAGGTGGGGCTTGATGGGCTGTGGCAGAACGGGACACTTTGTGAGATTTAAGTGTTGGAAAGTAGAAGAAAATTCAGGGTTGAGCCAAACTGGTTTGTGACTAAACTTTAAGATGTCCTTGAACTGATTTGCAAACCAGTTGCAACCTGTGGCTCTGGAGCCACATTTGGATCTTTGGTCCCTCCACAGCGGCTCTTTCAAGCTTTGACCAAACCTAACATAAAACTGAATTTAATACGTTAAATCCACAACCAAGGACTAGTTTTATCAGTTTTACTGTCGTTTCCTTTGCAAATATGTGAATACTAGTAATAATACAAAGAGTAAATTATACTCACTTTAACTTAATTTCTCCACAATTAGACAAACGACAACAACAAAAATCACACAAGCCTGCACAGTTCATCGTTTTAGATTTAAAAATCTGGCAAAAAATATATTTTTTCTTTACAAGATTCCAGTCTGTGATGGACTGGAGACCTGTCCAGGGTGATATGGGCACCAGTGACCCCCACGACCCAGAAAGGAAGCAGGAAGTATAGATGGATGGATGGAATCCAGTCTTTTCTTAGTCTTAAAATGCAAAAATATCAATAAACGTTACCAATCATTGGATGTTTTTAGTTTTATAATTTAACACCTACAGGCCAGAAACGCCACCTCTAACAAACTCAAAGTGGCCCATGGGCCACCAGTTGATAGTCACAGCAGGTTTTGTGGCTCTGGACATGTTTAATTTTGTGGGGCAGAAATGTCTCTTTCGATTGAAAAGTTTGCAGAGCTTTATGGTATAGGACAAAAACATTTCCATGAGACCATACGTGATGCTTTTTTATCCGACTCACCAGTTTCTCAACGGAAATCTGAATCTATGATCTCAGTCTAAAACAAAAAAGGCAGAGGGCGATAAGCGTTCCTTCAAAGGAACTGTCTGTTTATCAAGATCCTTAGATAGAGAACTTTACCAATCGTCTTTTATGTACGTGAATGTTTCTGTAAAGTGCCCTGAGACTTTGTTGTGATTTGGCGCTGTATAAATAAACTGAATTGAAGAGCACAAAAATCAAATGGAAACTCTGAAAAGAACCGTCAGTGGACAAACTAATAAGGTTTTAAACATCGTTTTTAAAACAGGAAATCAATGCGACACTTTGGGAGCTCCATCCGATGGAGGTCTGAGCGTGGAGGGCCTTCACCTCCAGGAACCGGCTCGACCTTCTGATCCAGTTTATAAAAGGAGCCGCAGCCGGAGTTCAGCCCGGAAAGAAACGGACCAATCACCAGCAGCTGGTGACGGCCACCTCTAAATAAATGTATCTGTAAAGATGTTATTTGTTCTCTACGAGGAGACTGAAGGCACGTTTTATTATTATTAATCTTAATCTCTGACAGCTGTTACTCAGACCTGCAGATCTTTGTCACGTTGTCTGGATTATCAAATTAAAATGACAAAGATTATCGCCCTGTCAAGCCCAAAATTTAGACCAAAATCATTTAACGTTGAAAAATGACAAAAGTTGAACAGAAGCTAAAGAAAACAGAAAAAGAGCTAAAGCTTAAGTTAAGAAAACAGTAGCTGAAATAAGGTAAAAATGTTAAAGCTAAAGTTGGCAAAACAGTAGCTAAAGAAAGCAAAGCAAAGCCTATGCTAAAGCTTAGGTTAGCAAACTAGTAGCTAAAATAATCAAAATATAAGTTAGCCAAACAGTAGCTAAACGAAGCAAAACATGCTAAAGCTGAGGATGCAAAATAGAAGCTGTAGAAGGAAAATATTCTACAGCTGAGGTTAGCAAACTAGTAGCTAAAATAAGCTAAATATATATTAATGGTCAAGTTATCAAAACAATGACTGAAAGCCAAACATGCCAAACTTTGAGACTAAAATTATTTTTTGTTGAGAAGACAAAAGTTGAACAGG